GTGTGTGTGTGTGTGTGTGTGTGTGTGTGTGTGTGTGTGTGTGTGTGGACCCCTAAGGCGCAAACCACTGCTCCCAGTAAAGCTTTCTTTCTTTTTTTCTTTTCTATGTCATGATCAAATGACTGTTTGTGTGTCGTTGATGGATTTCTCGCCCGAAGTCCAGTAAACCTGTAGACAGAGACAGAGAGAGAGAGAGAGAGAGAGAGAGAGAGAGAGAGATGTAAGACCTTATTGACATCTTTAATTCTCCTCTCCTTCTTCACTTTGATCTTCTTCCTCTTTCTTTTGTTCTCATTTCCTATTCTCTCCCCTCAGTCTAACCCGCCTCACCTCAAACAGTTTCTTTCTTTTGTTTTTCTCTTTCTGCTGTTTCAATTGCACCTCTTCTATTTACGCATTTCTGAATCTTCTTTTCCTCCTTTACTCCTCTGGCTCAGTTTCTCTTTGACTGTGTCCATCACTAGGGACGAGGGTACACAGAGCACGTTTCTGCTCTGTGCCGTCTGTGTGTCTGCTGGTCGGTACTGAAGGCATAAATATTCTGAATTGGGAATATTAAGGTACACTGACAGGATACGGTTGAGCGAGTCGGAGCAGAATACTGAGCAAAGAAACATGCTGCTGTGTTTATCGCTGCTGTTCCAGATGATCACGCATCTGAGGGGCATATTTGCTAAAAAAAGAAAAAAAAAACACCACAAAATGCCATCAGGTTGCAAAATGTGGCGTCACCGCAGTGTTTTCATGTAGCGAGGTATTCATTGAGACAACATGTGAAAATGAGCTTTGCTGACAGATAACCGGACTTATTGTGTGTTTTCTGCTGCTGAACTTGGAACATTGGTTGTGGGACCAAACATGTTTGTGTGTATGCGTCACACAAGAACAAAGCTGTGTGTGAGGAAATGTGACTTCAGTAGCCAAATGTCATCGGCTCAATAAAAAAGTCAGTGATTGAATATGATGAGGCAAATCAATGTGGGTATTCGTGGTGAAACTTTGAGACTCCTTTGACTAGATTGTTGCTGAGAACAGATGAAGATGATTGAACAGACGTACTTAATAAGTGTTACTGGCTGATTAAAACATTAAATCACACTGGACTTGTCCTGCTATACGCCATTTAAATGCAGGGGGAAATACAAATGCTGCAGCATTCTTTACTGCTGTCATTAAATGACTCGTTTAAGAGTCGAACTCAGAGCGGCGATTAGTCTATCGGCTGAAAGATTATTTGCAACTAATTACATGACCGACTGCTGCTGCTTTGGGTCCTTTGTCAGTCCAAAATGCAAAAGATGTAAGCGAGCGTTGAGCAGAGAGAACAAGCAATTTGACGAAGTCCGCTTTGGCTTTGGGAAATTTGGATGGACAATTTTTTTTCAATTATTTTCTGACATTAGGTAGAATGAAAGTTTAGCCTGTCAGTTGATTAATTGAGAAAATAATCAGCAGAATAGCCAATAATGAAAATAATTTTTAGATGCAACCCTACTATTAAGACTTTGTCTCACCTTCTCCCCCCCCTTGCTTGCATTTTACCAGCGCACAACCTCGGTGCAGTCCTTCAGTCAGTAAGGACCAAAGCAATTTGACTAATAAATATCTTTGTGTGCTGTTCTCAGTCAAACAATGCTTAGTTGTGTACAGACATCTGTGTCCCCTCCCCCCTATGGGGATCACATTACATTACCAAGACAGTCTGCCTCTCTTTCTTGCCACCAACCTCAAGAATCAACAATGATTTTCCTCAACTACTCTATTTTGGAGACATCGCCATGGCAGCCAGCACACGATGCAGCGTTGTTACGGCAACATAAACCGCAGAAAGCCCAACCTTGACCCTTCTGATCCATGCTGGAGAAGTGGGACGGGCATAGCTTGACATATTTCTTCCTTTTTATGTTCTATTCCTATAATTGCTGTAATTAATATATATATACACACATACATACATACATATATATATAGTCCTGGCTGTCCTGGTGGTTTTTCATAACTTTACTGTTGTCACTGGACGTCATCCAGCTGTAAAAGTGACAAACAGCCAGATGCACACGAACGAACACACATGCAAAAACTGACAAGAGCTTGTGACGCTACGACAGCTGCATTCTGGGTCCTAACAAGCTGCAGGTTTATCATGTGAACTTTAGCTGGTTGCTTCTTCTACCACTTAAACACTTAGATTCTGTATAACAGCTTGTTAGCATTCCTTCTATTGTTTCACTGAGGCCATGGGGTACAAATTATTTGAGCACGATGCCCGCCTCTGCCCCTTTTGGTTTTAATAAGAAATGCTGCCCATTGGATTCTCTATCATTTGTTCCAGAGCGAAGGACAAAAGCAGATAAATGTTAACTGTGGCAGCAGTCAAGGGAAACAGCTGTCGGTATTTTTCCACCGTATCTCCCACTGTTATCCACAATGTCCTTCAGGTTCCACACAGCTGTCAGTGAAATCTCCTGTTAAAATGATTCATCTCATCCCCGAATACAATTTATACACAGTGATCGCGCCTCGTCGCTATGACAGAAAACACAGTTAATCTATGCTGCACCGATGTGAGCGGAGCCGTGCACATGCTGCAGCTCGAATGTTTTCCAGAGATGTCTCCTGCCTCAGTGTTAATGCAATTTATACACCTTGGGAGCAGCTTTCAGCGAGTGAACTCGGCTTCTGTGTTTTATATTCTGCCCAGTTTTTGTACACTGCTCTGCCTCCTGAATGGCAACATTTCTCTTGCATTGATTTCAGGTCGACTTTAACAGGCACTCGCCACTTTAAACTGTCAATCACCTCGCCCACGCTCCCTTCCGCCGCTCTCTCTACATCTCCTGCTCTACTCGTACCTATTGTCCCGTCATATTCCTGTTAGTTCTGTGCAATCATATTTGTACAGCTAGTAATTATCATCCAATACCCTCCTGCCGGACTCCTTCCTGTGACAGTGGCTCTTAACAGGTGCTGGAGAATTTCAATCTTTTCTCGCTGCCTGCTGTCGAGTGCTCTCGTCTATGATGCACGGCAGTCTACTCAGTCTCACCTCCTGTCTTCGTTCTGTAGGTGAGGGTGTCTTAATGACTGAAGAAAACAAATCTATCCCCATGCATCTGGCTTTCAGGCACTCGTTGGGCACTTCCAGCCGCAGTTCGCTCAAGATTGCTGCGGAACAATGAGTAGCAGCATTACTGACACGGACAACCTGCCCTGGGGAGACTGACGGTGCTGCTCCAGGTCTGAAGGCCAAGAAAGCAAATAATAAACAAGTGTGAAGAGGGTTTTGTTGACACGATGGAAAATCGTTCAGATAGGGGCGTGGCAATGTATTAATATAGAACACGTCCTCCACCTGTTAATGTCAACGAATCCCATTAAGAGACCAAAACCAACATGAATTGATCCCACTAACAAACATCGCCTGTGTTGCCTAAGAGCGACATAAATTATATCTTTGTGCCACAGAGCTCCATTGTTGTCCAACAGGACAAAGGCCGCGTTCAGCCCTCTCATTCATCTGAATGAGGCCAGTCCGGCGGTGCAGTGGGGGGGGGGGGGCACCGGCAGATATTTTCCCTCTTTTCTCCGACGCGGTATAACCAGGTAAAGAAAATGAATGAATGTATCGTGTAGTAACATCTGCAGAAACTAATTAACATCCCGTGAATAGTTGAAAAAACACTGAGAAGAAATGAAAGAAATGACCAACTTGGACAACTCCAACTTCCTGTTCTTACTCGTCTGGAGATGCTCGGTGACCAACAAAGCAATTAGCTGCTTTAGCCAGCATGTATGTCTGGGTGCATACCTCTTCCAGGTTTAATTACCATCTTTAATCCCTTTAATCACTCGCCTTAACTGTTGTCACTGAGCACACGCTGTTGCCAGCCTGCCATTAACCTCCTTGGATGAGCCAAATCCTGTTCTCAGTCGACCCGAGTCGTATTTTTCTCCATCGCCTGTCTCGTTTCCTCTCATCATCACAGTTAAAAAAAACGAGGCGTCAGAGTAATTCTGCAGGAGAAACATCTGTTAGCAGCTGTTATCGTGGTACAGACCATTTTTAATTACTTTGTCCATCCACCCTCCCATAATCTACCCACTGATTCCTCTATCTGCTACGGTCACCATTTGTTTCTGAATTTCCTAGTCCCCTCATTCATCCACATCTCCTCCGGTCACGACTATAACTCAAGTGTGTTTATGACAATGACAGATCGATGCCGACATTACAGGTGCATGGCGTCCAGTGTGACACATCCCCCACCACACATGACGGCTCCATCCCTCCCATCTCGTTCCCTCTCTGCCGTCCATCTTCTAAGTAGAAGCATCCGTCACAAGCAGTTGATCTCATTTATGTCCTTTAAGGGTTCAAACAGGCTTTAATAATTCTGCATCACTTGCTTGCTTCGAATTGTTCCCCCTTAACCTCGCTGTCTCATTTGTCATTGTTTTTCACCATTCCCCTCCACCACCCCTCCCTCTCTCTCTTTCCATTTCGATCACCGCTGCGGATGGCGCGAGTAAGAAACAATAAAATGGAGCCATTTTGGTTGTTGCAGGTGCCCAATATACCTCTGCCCTGGCTGTGTGTAGCGTTTGGCAATAACAATGCTTCACTGCAATTTCACAAACCAGAGGCCACCTTCACCGGCAACATGAATTAAGGATTAAGGCCGATTGTAGTAAAACTTGATCTCTATTTTTGTCATGCAATCCTCTCTTATTCACCCTGCCTGCAGTTAGAGAGAAGCTGGTGGAATATTGAGACTGTAAACATTGTTATTTTGTACACATTGTGTCTGTCTGAACTTCACCTGTCCATCCTCACTGCAGCTAAGATCAGTAACAGTGTAAGGATGACCCCACGGCTGCTGCTGAGCAACGCTTTTGTCACTTAATAACACCTTCTATTCTCTTTTCCTACCACAGTGCACATGTACACCCTGCAGCTTCAATACACTGAGCCTGAATGACACACAAACACAGTGTGGATACTATCTTATACATGATATTTTCTTTGGTGAACTGGTTTAAGAGACTGCACTAACTATATATATATATATATATATATATATGTATATTTCTTTAAAGTCATCTGGGTGATGAAAGTGCCACAGCAAGAGGACTACTCCCAGGGCTAGGTGGTGACCTACTGTGCCTGG